ACAAGATGAGCTTGTATTAACACAAGAAGGGAACTTTGATCATGATAGGATGGAATCCTTGATTGGAACACAGTAATTGAGGGGTATAGCACAATCACAAAAAATTAGCTAAATAGCAAGGGTGCAAGGAGTACCATTATCTGTAAGGGTGTGTACACCTGCAAGGTGATCCATGACTGCTTGAGTACAATTGAGTAAACATTATAGGAGAGGGAAACAACAATGATATTGCTATGGGGTTGTTTTTCAGATCTCCAAGCTGACTGAATGATGCTTTTTTAGATCATATTATTAAACTTTCAAAATGAAAAGATATGGTAGTAATGGGAGACTACAACTATCTTGGTATTTAATTGAAGGCAAATTCTACCAAGAATATAAGCTCCAACAAATATCTTTCTTGCTTTGCTGACAATTTCTCCTGAAAAGCCCAATGAAAATCGGCCATCTCGGATTTAATTTTCATCAGAATTGAAGAACTGGCCACAGAGGTGAAAATAGTGGGGAAGTTGCATGGAAGCGATTATATCTTCCTGAGTTTGTTATAAAGAAAGGGGTGGCCATATGTAGAAAAACATACATATAGACTCTAGGAAAACGAAAATGAGTAAACTTAAGAAAATACTGAGATCCTCTTGGCAGAAATACTCAGAGAAAGGAATTCATGAGGGATGGGAATTTTTAAATGGTAAGATATTGAAGGGAAGTTACAAACAATTCCAATGAGAAATAAGTAGGAAGTGTCCATAGACCTGAAGGTTACTGCATAAGGAACTTTTGTATCAACTGAGACTTAGAGGGGGCATGTGTACGAGAAATGGAAAAGGGGCACATTACCTAGGAAGAGTAAAAACAAGTAGCAAATACATGTAAGGGAGAAGGGAAGGGTATGAGAAAGGTCAGAATGAGCTCAGGCTTGTAAGAGCTGTTAAAAATAACACAAAAGGAGGTTCTGCAAGAGAAAAACAAAAACTGTAGCTTCACTGTATGAAGAAACTGGAGAAATGCTGTAAGGAAGAGGGAACAGACTCGTTTTCTACTGCCCTGGAGACTAGGACTCAGAGCAACGGATTCAAATTACAGGAAAGGAGATTCTAATTAAATATTTGGAAGAAATTCTTGACTGTAAGGGCTGTTCAGCAGTGGGACTCACTGCCCTGGAGTGTGGCAGAAGGTTTTAAAACAGAGGCTAGATAACCATCTCTTGTCAGTGGTACTTTGATTGTTCTTTTCCTGCATGGCAGGGGGTTGGACTACATGGCCCATGTGGTCTACTTCAATTCTGTGAATCTATTATTCTAAATGCTAACAGGTGACAAAGAGAAGATGGAACTGCTCAACAAATACTCTTCCTCAGACTTCTCTCAAAAATAAAACAATGTTGACTGGTGAAACAATAAATATGCACCGAGAGGGCTATAGTCCAAAACAAGTAAATAGGTGATACAGGGACATCTACCTACTTTGAATGAATGGAAGTCCCCAGAGCTAGATGAAATGTACCCAAAGGCCCCAAAGGAACTTGTAAATGCAATTTAAAATCCTCTATTTATTTTTTTTAGAATTCTTGAGAATAGGTAAAGACCCTAAGGACTGGAGAGAGGCAACTATTACCCCAGACTACTCTATTATCACTGCCAGAAAAGAGTGTGTCTCCCTGGGGAGATAGGGTAGAATACAAATGAAGTCCTATTATCATATATTATTATTCTAGAACACATAATAAGTCGGTTGTGAGTTGGAAGAAAATAATGTAATAATAAAAAAGAACCAGAATATTTTTTTCAAAATCAATTAATGACAGACCAACATTATCTCTAATTTTATAGAGTCACAAGCTTGGTAAATCACAACAATGCTGTGGACATGATGTATCTTGCTTTCAGTAAGGCTATCTCTATGACAAGCTGGTAAAATGTTGGCTAGATGATGAGGGCATATTTATACTTGGTTGGCAGATGTAACCAAAGAGTTTTCACCAAAGGTTTCTTGTCATGCTGAAAAAAATGAGGTGTCATAGGGTTCTGTCCTAAATCCAGAATAGTTCAAGATCTCAGACGATGAAGTAAGCAGAGACACTAATCAAATGTGCAAAAGACACCAAACTAGAAGAAGTATCTAATATCTCAGAAGATGAACCAGAATTCAAGATGTTCACAAATTGGAGAAAAATGAAGCGTATCACGAATTTCAACAAAGATAAATGCAAGGTTCTACATTTAGACAGGAAAAGCCAGATGTACAAAATAGAGAATGGATGACAACTGGTTTGACAGCAGTATATGTAAGAAGTATCTAGGTGACTTAGCACAGGGCTTCTTAAATGTTTCCACATTGTCCTGGTTGGCCTGACAAATCTTTACATGGACGATATCAGATGATGGAAGCATCTGAGCAGAGGCTGGCTGACCACCTTTCAGAGATTTTTAATTTGTGGATTATTACACTGGGCAGAAGTTGGACTCGCTGATTCTTTCCATGCAAGAAAAGTTATTAGTTTATCACACAATTTAACTGCCTACTTCATGATAGTTTTATTGCCAATTATGCTGTACTATAGATGTCCTTTGATTTTCTCCCTGCAAAAGCATATTTTCATCCTTTAACAATAAAAAGTAACTCAGCATTACAAGGAGCTTATAAAGCATACGACTTCTTAAGGTTAGAAGCCAAGAAGAGTACATCAATTCAGGACTTTCACTGAAAACCAAGTGACATAAGAAAATAAACTTTGAAAGGATTAACTGTAAAGAAATCCACAATAGGCTCAGCATGTGTCATAAAAAGGAAAAAAAATTAATACACCTGAAAGATGGATTGCAACAGAATGCAGTTAAAAATGAATCATATTCCACCTGGAAAGGCACAGCCGCATTGAATGTGGTTGAGAGACACAGGAAAGGAATAATGACCTGAGGCATCCGATGCTTTTTGAGTGCACAGGAACAAATTACAATTCCCTTCACTTTCAATAATACCAAGTATTACCATAAATTGACAAAGGAAATGGAAAAGAAGATGGCTACCTTTAAATGTATATCTCATTATTAATAAATACGGCTTGCACTGTGCAAATACAGATTTCCAACTGCCACTAGAAATCCCTTTGTCCCCAATCTGAACATTATTAAAGCAGATAAAAGTAGGAACACCTATACATGTACAGCTTGCCTATTTTCAGGCATACATTCCAAGCTAACAATGAAATACCTAGCCATGCACATTGCGTTGAGGGAGCTGAAGACGGAATTCCCACTGTCCCACAGGCATCTAGCCATTCTTATGAAGCAGAATTCAGAAAAATGTTGAGGTTATGAAGAATAAAAATGCTCCATAATTACACTTTAAAAATACAATTAGGGTGTTTTGCATTAACTATGTACCAAATGAGATATTTTACCTGCTATGGAACAACTTCAATCATAGCGTTGAAAAGTCACTTTTTTTTTTGCATTATAACCGCCAAAATCCTATAATAAACATTCCCACTGTTCATGCTAATGATGAGTTCGAAAGTTGTAATCTAGCAATTTTCCAAGCTCTGGGATGATGTCTCTATCAGTAAACATCTTTTTCTATCTTCTCTGTTTTGCTATCTCTAGGATATGGATTTATGGGAGCAAGCCCTCTTTTTAGCTCATAGGAACGACTGTGTTTTAATCTATTGTTCATAATTCTATTGTTAATTTCTTACTTGACTGTGCTGTATTTTATGTTTTATATCATTTGGATGTGTTATTATTTATTCTACCTTATGCATTTTATTGTATTGCCCTAATTGTATTATTTATGGGTTGTTGTAGGTTTTTCCGGGCTATATGGCCATGTTCTAGAGGCATTTTCTCCTGACGTTTCATCTGCATCTATGGCAAGCATCCTCAGAGGTAGTGAGGTCTGTTGGAACTAGGAAAGTGGGTTTATATATCTGTGAAATGACCAGGGTTGGGCAAAGTACTCTTGTCTGTTGGAGCTAGGTGTGAATGTTTCAACTGACCACCTTGATTAGCATTTGATGGCCTGGCAGTGCCTGGGCAATCTTTTGTTGAGAGGTGATTAGATGTCCTTGTTTGTTTCCTCTCTGTTGTTGTGCTGTTGCGATTTTAGAGTTTTTTTAATACTGGTAGCCAGATTTGGTTCATTTTCATGGTTTCCTCTTTTCTGTTGAAATTGTCCACATGCTTGTGGATTTGAATGGCTTCTCTGTGTAGTCTGACATGGTGGTGTGAGAGTGGTCCAGCATTTCTGTGTTCTCAAATAATATGCTGTGTCCAGGTTGGTTCATCAGGTGCTCTGCTATGGCTGACTTCTCTGGTTGAAGTAGTCTGCAGTGCCTTTCATGTTCCTTGATTCATGTTTGGGCGCTGTGTTTGGTGTATTATTTATGTTGTAAGCCACCACGAGTCCCCTGAGGAGAGGGGGCGGGATATAAATAAACATTATTATTATTATTATTATTATTATTATTATTATTCAATTGGTTTTGAATAACTAAAGTGAAGAATGCCTGGGGGAATCCTTTGTTGGCAGTAGATTTGTATAACCACTTTGCACATCTTCATACTTATATGCAGCTCTTTGTATCCTATCCCATATCTCTTATATATTCTAAAATGTTTTTATCAATAGGATTCTTCACAAATAGGACCTAAATCAAAAAGAAAGGATTCCCTCCAACCCCCCAGCCAAACACTTTAAAAAAATTCTTTCTATGCAAATCATCATTTTGTGACAAATGAACATGTCCAGCTTTCATATAGCCATTTTAAGCTCTATCCAGCATTTTTTCCTTCTTAAAATATTTTCCTCTCTTGTGTATAAATTATCATTTTGACTATAAAAGAAATGGCAGAGAATGTGTTAGTTATCAGTGCATATAATGATACTAATCCTTCATTTTCAATACTGAATAATGAATGAAAGATATTGAGACATTTACTATTAAGTAGTTATTAAAGTAATAACAATTTATATTGTCCAGGAGTAAGCAAAATATGACTTACCTCATATTTTACATCTTTGTGAATCTGACTTTAAAAGCTGCATTTTTCAGTCTCTTTGGCGTAACCTGTTTGGGCAAAGAGGCTACAGAAGTTCTTGCTGTAAACAACATTACTGTTAAACTGATTATATATATATATATATATATATATATATATATATATATATATATATAATCTCAAGAGGCCATACCTAGTAGCATAATAATTTTGTAGCTACATCCTAGAATGTAAGGTGCAACCTATACATCTACAATCTATAAATTATTGAGATTATTGTCCTGGTTACTGACTCTTGAGTTTGGTTTGATATACTTTTAATGATGTTTTTATAGCCTGCTGTGCTTTTAATTGTTTTAATTGGATTGTTATATGCTATTATGTTTTTAATTGTGTTCTTAGTTGGTGAATTTTGTTGTATGTTCTGGTCTTGGTCCCACCTGTAAGCCGCTCCGAGGCCCTCTTTCAGGGAGATTGTGGCGGGGTATAAAAATAAAGTTGTTGTTGTTATTATTATTACTATTTCCTCCCAAATAAACTAGTTTTTCCTTGGTAATCCAGTTTCATTATTTACTGGGGAACTATGAAACAAGCAGAATAAGAACTAAAATGCACACTGAACAATCCCACAATTGATATGACAAAACATTCTGTCAAAATGTTAGGATATTATTATGTTGGCTGTGTAGCAATATTGGGAGCAAAATAATTGTCTCCTCTGTAGCTTCATGTGCCATCCAGTAGACTTTATCTGTGTCATGTTATTCTACGGTACGAATTTGGAGGAATCTCCACAAGAGAATCTGATAAATCTGCTAAGTACAAGAGTCTGGCTGTTCATATCCATGTTGACCTATTGCTGTTATGGATAAAGTTCCAGTGCAGATGCCCAGAACTCAGTCTAGTCAACTTGTGTAGAATCTGGGTTGCTGAGAGTTTTTTGAGCTATATGGCCATGTTCTAGTAGCATTCTCTCCTGATGTTTCAGCTGCATCTGTGGCAAGCATCTTCAGAGATATACTCAGAGGTCTTAAATGCTTATATGTCATTCAGTGGTTTTAAATGCTTATATGTCACAGTTGTTTATTGCTTATTTTTGTTTATGTGATTTATATTATTTGTATTGTATTGATTGCCTATTATGTTTTGTTTATTGATGTTTTGTTTATTGATGTATTGTGGCCTTGGCCTCATGTAAGCTGCACCGAGTCCCTCGGGGAGATGGTAGCAGGGTACAAATAAAGTATTATTATTATTATTATTATTATTATTATTATTATTATTATTATTAGAGGTCTGTTGGAAATGAGGCAAGTGGAGTGTATATATATCTGTGGGATGTCCAGAGTGGGAGAAAGAACCCTTGTCTGTTTGAAGAAATTATGTAGAATCTAGTTTAATGGATGTTTGTAGAATCTAGTTTAATGGATAAGGCCTGACACTGATTATCCATGGGAGCCAATCTTATCTCCATACTTTTTACCATCTATATAAATTCACATCTATATAAATATGGTGACAAGCAGATCTCCCTGTCATCTGAATTAAGCAAAGATGTGCAGGTATACAAATGGTGTCTAGGCTCAATAGTGGGCTAGCTGAGAACCAGTAAAGTTGAATCTCAACAAACAATTGAGGCATTGGGAGTATGTGGTTCTGATTATTATTATTTTTTGGAACTAGATATAAAGGCTGTTCAAGAAGTTTTTCCTCTGAAAAAGCAAGACATATATCTTGCCGGTACAAGTTTTGCCAATTAATCTAGACAATCTCAGGGTTATTATTAGTTTCAACGATTTCCCCTAACTACAACCACTCTTAGACAAGCACAGTTTGGCTACATAGACTTATTATTCCCTAGCATTCTTCCTGCTGACTTATTGCAATACTTTGTACATAAAACTATCTTTAAAATGATCTGGTGGCTTCATCTACTATAGAATATGAGAATTGGTATAACTCAAAATATATCTGATATAGCCAACTAGAATCACACTGAACTAACTCTAAAGAACTCATGTCAAAACTGAATTCACAGTACTGATGCTATTTTAAAGGCATAAATGGCACAGGATCCAAATATGTGTCCATTAGCTTTACTCTGAAAAGCATTTAACAAATGTTTTAGTACACAAATTTGGAAAACACTATAAAATGGGAGTTCTTACTTTTTTACAAGTGGGATACTTAATGCCCAACCAGCAGCAAAATCTGGAAATTTAAAAACAGTAGGGTTTTCTGCAAAGGCATAGTGGTGAATTATTGTAGATTCATCATCATGTAATGCTTTACCTAAAAACAATTCCTGCAGGAAAAAATAGGCAGAGTTTAACTTGTCTTGTGTATAAATCAACCAAGCTGTTGGCATCAAATTGTTGCCGGTTGTAAGCCGCCCTAAGTCCCCCCTCAGGGGTTGAGAAGGATGGGGTGCAAATGTTTGAAATAAATAAATGCATAAATAAATAAGCTGGGATGTCAAATACAGTATATGAGCAGAAAGACATTTTAATTCTTTTAAAGAATCTCTATTTTCCAAAGAATCTCAGAAGGCTGTTTTCTGTGAGTACGCAAGAATGCTTGTGTATACTGATAAAAGACAAGTATAACTATGACCAGCGTTCTCTTAGAGACATGACATATACACCTGTAAATATCCCTTATGAGTGCAGATGTATTTTTGAGAGGTTAATATAAGTAGCACTGATAAGTCACAGTGCCCAAACAGATTTTCATATGTATTGTCGAAGGCTTTCATGGCCGGAATCACTGGGTTGTTGTAGGTTTCTTTGCGCTATATGGCCATTTTCTAGAGGCATTCTGTCCTGACGTTTCGCCTGCATCTATGGAAAGCATCCTCAGAGGTTGTGAGGTGAGGTGACCTCACTACCTCTGAGATGCTTGCCACAGATGCAGGCAAAACGTCAGGAGAGAATGCCTCTAAAACATGGCCATATAGCCCGGAAAAAACCTACAACAACCCAGATTTTCAAATGTAATTCTACAGTCAGGATCTGTCTTCACCTAATAGTCAGCAAAGCAACTGTGAATGAGGGACTGTGAATTAGTGTACTCCTTGTTCATAACGTTAATGAAGGACTGTACCATACAACAGCAGAGCTAGGATTGGTGTCACCCAATGTTGTAACTCATGGTGTCTATCTATTTGTGTAGTTAACAGCTGTTAAAGGAAATTAATGGAGACACATTCACATGACTCAAAGTGATAATTGCTAAGCTGCTTAGACACAATATTTTGTCCCACAAGTGAATGCAACTTGTCTGCTTGTTTATTTTTGTACTGTGGTCAGAAGTGTGATAGATTGTGTGAATGACTACAAAGATCTCTCCTTTTCACTGACATTTTGGCACCTTCAGACAATTCTACAAATTTAACTAGGCAAGAGTTTGATTATTCCAAAATTATCTTTTTCTGGAAGAATGGCAGCATATATATGCAAGAGAGACATGAAGTTAGGAAGGGAGGTTGATTGGTGTTTTATACATTTTGATATATTCTCCATCAATTTTTTCAATATCTAGATTTAGGTTGAGAATCTGTAATTTCTAGATGTTTTAAATATGATGGTAAAGCAATGCTATCTGTAGGTAAAGGTAAAGGTTTTCCCCTGACATTAAGTCCAGTTGTGTCCAACTATAGGGTTTGGTGCTCATCTCCATTTCTAAGCCGAAGAGCTGGCGTTGTCCATAGACACCTCCAAGGTCATGTGACCAGCATGACTGCATGGAGCACCGTTACCTTCCCACCAGAGCGGTACCTATTTATCTACTCACATTTGATTTTTTTCAAACTACTAGGCTGGCAGAAGCTGGAGCTAACAGAGGGAGCTCACCCAACTCCTCCAATTTGAACTAGCAACTAGCGACTTTGAACTAGCAAGTTCAGCAGCTCAGCAGTTTAACCCACTGTGCCACCAGTGGCTCCTGTACATGGTATTTATTCTTGGTATTTCTGAGAGGATCTTTAACATTGAATCAAGACAGAGAGATAAGGCTCTTACAATGTTGTAACCTAACTAAAGCTGTAATGTAATAAAGATTCCTTGACATCTTGACACATAACTATGAACTACCTTTACCTTCCATTATTTAAGCACATCAAAACCCACAGCGCTTTCTGTACTCAGCAAGGTGTTCTTTATATTCACAAAGTAACCAAAATCTACTTTTCCTCTCAGTGTATGAGCACTTCAAAATGTCATTTACATACAGGAACCCACTTATTATTGTAAAATTCACCTTAGATTTGTCATATCTTCCAAGTGTCTTCAATAGTCTTATAATATGTATTCTTGTATCTTCTTCACAGAAAAAAATCCAGGAGGAGTTTCTACTATATGTAACAGAAAACCTGTCAGGAGTAAGAGTTGATAATATTGAAGGAATTACGTCTCACAAATACAAAAATAAAGGACATTTCAATAATAATTTGATCTGATGTTGCCAGCAATACACTGGGGGCTAATTCATACAGCCAAAAGAGAAATTGTTGTCCTACTTAGATCTGTTAAGCTATGTTTTTCTATAACACGCCTTGAATTAGTCTTTTTTCTCCTCCTCCAGTTTTTCACACCAAATTGACCTCTTCTAAAATTTACAGTCTCATTTATAAATGGGCTACATATCCCCAGGTATACAAACTTGAGCAATTGTTAATTTGTATTTTTGAGCAACTCAAGATATGAAATCATAGTTTGATAGTAGTTTATAATAACTAATCATATCTATTCTAACCAAGGATCATTCAATTTGGGTGCAAGAATATTTTGGGGAAGCATTTTATAATTCAACTCAATCAATTTCAAGACTGGGAAAGCTTATCTATCATGTTATTAATAAAGATTATTTAGAAATTTGTCAGCCAGAAAAATGACCTACTCTTTCTTCTTCATAAACATATCCTATTCATGCATTAGCCTTACAATCAGAATGAAATGTATTGTATTTTGCCCATAAGTTTCTTTATTGTCAACACCTCTAGAATCGTAGAATCATAGAGTTAGAAGTGACCTTTGGACTATCCATTCCAACCCCATTCTGCCAAGAAACTAGAAAATCATATTCAAAGCACCCCCAACAGATGGCCATCCAGCCTCTTTAAAATCCTCCAAAGGAAGAGCCTCCACCACACTCCGGAGCAGAGAATTCCACTGCTGAACAGCTCTCACAGTTAGCAAGTTCTTCTTCAATGTTCATCAGTGTCGGGGCGATGATATGTGATAGTAGTGGGCACTAGCGGTGGAATCTCCTTTCTTGTAGTTTGAAGCTATTGCTCTGCGTCCTAGACTCCAGGGCAGCAGAAAACAAGCTTGCTCTCCCCTCCCTGTGACTCACCCTCACATATTTATACATGGCTATCATGTCTCTTCTCACTCTTCTGTAGGCTAAACATGCCCAGCTCTTTAAGCCACTCCTCATAGGGCTTGTTCTCCAGACCCTTGATCATTTTAGTCGCCCCTCTGGACACATTCCAGCTTGTCAATATCTCTCTTGAATTGTGGTGCCCAGAATTGGACACAGTATTCCAGGTGTGGTCTGACCAAGGCAGAGTAAAGAGGTAGCATGACTTCCCTGGATCTAGACACTAGATTCCTATTTATGCAGGCCCAAATTCCATTGGCTTTTAAAGCTGACGCATCACATTGTTGGCTCATGTTGTAACTTGTTGTCCACGAGAAGTCAAAGATCTTTTTCATAATTACTGCCATCGAGCCAGACTTCCCCCATTCTGTATTTTTGAATTTCATTTTTTTCTGCTGAAGTGGAGTATCTTGAATTTGTCTCTGACTAATTAGATCCCCCTCCCAAATGCTGCTGTCTTCCAATTACTGTGTGAATTAAGTGTTCAACTATATATCACTTTGGATAGCTGATACAGCTGAAAAACAGGAGAAAACACTGACATTTAAATTAATAAATCAAATCATTTGACATGAGGAGGATGTAGTAAGTATATGCAATCCTTAAAAAATCAAGATCACACATAACAATTTATGCAAAAAACTGAAATAGGTCATAGATAAGTATTCCATTTTGCAACGGTTTTACTATAGATTATAATATCCAGTATCCAACTCAACCAAAACTGTCAGAAGCATCATTCACCTGTGCTCTGATCTCCAGCTGAATGAATCTTCTGATAAAGTATCCAGTACAATGGTGCTCAACCTGTGAGTCCCCAGATGTTTTGGCCTTCAACTCCCAGAAATCGTAGCAGCTGGTAAACTCTCTGGGAATTCTGGGAGTGTAGGCCAAAACACCTGGGGACCGACAGATTGAGAACCACTGAGTGGCAGGAGATACAGCTGGGGTAGTGATTTTTATTTATTTATTTATTTAGTATATTTATTTATAGCTTGCTTGTCAAGACCCAGAAGCCTCAAGAATGCCAACACTGCTTTATCTTTCCCAGAGGAGAACCAAAGAGGCTTTCCATAAAAGTATTAGCATACAATTTAAAATATACAAATTTGCAAAGATTGAAACAGAATTAAATTTAAACAGTATTTAAAAATCACAGGTAAATCAATTGTGATTTTCATAATTATGACAAAATAGTCATCCTGAATACAGAATAGTTACTTTACTCATCGGTATTAATTCCATATTCACAATCGCTACTTAAAATTGTGATTCTATTTCCACAATCTTAAGACCCTCACCTTTACCTGCATGGGAGATTGGAGGCACATTCTGTCAGCAATCAGATCATGGGTGAATTAGATTTTACCAGGTTTTCCATGTGGAGGAGGAAACAGTGGTTGAGCCAGGAAAGGCTATTTAGTTAAATATACTTAGTTAAGTAGCTGATGTACATTGATCAATAGCCTTTGTTTCTATTTTTCACACATTATCTAAAACTGGCCTAAACTACTGCCCCGTAATTCATACTCACTTACTCATGCATTAAAGGCAGAATTGTCCATGCACCCTCATTGGCCATCTGATGAATAAGCAGAATAGTGGGCATCTCCTTTAAGAAGAAGAAGAAAACACATTAATATAACAGTAGAAAATTGCCTTGCTAAAACTATTGGCCTTGTCAACCTCTTTGTCATCACTTGTTTCTGAAGAATTTTAAAAATTAAACAAAAACAACCTAATCATATTTTGTAATAGCATCAACAGAATTCAAACAAGCAACCAAGCTTCCACATTAGCCTTTTTAAATCAAATAAGCATTTCAATTCAATTTCAAATTAATTAGTACCTATAATCAACAGCATGAGAACAAAATTCAAAAGGTGGTTAAGATGCAAAATACAAGGCAAACAAGTTCTAGCTTTTAGTCTCAAAAGATACAGATCTTAATTGTTTAGATCCATCAGGATTTGTATTAGAACTTATTTAAGGTCCTTCAACTAGATAGTTCTTTAATGTATGCTTAATGAAAACTAAAATAACATGTTCAAGATGAGAATAAATTAAATAAATGAAAGATTATTTTTAACAACCTATTTTGTTGTTTTGCTGTCAAGTTGACTTTGCTATATAGTGACCTTATGAATGAGAGAGCTCCAAATCATCTCATCATAAACACCTGGCTCATGCCTTGCAAACTTAAGGCTTTGGCTTCCTTGACTGAGTCCATCTGGAATGCAGTCTTTATCTTTTCCTACTGTCGTCTTACCTTACCAATACCATCTTTCTGGCGAGTTGTCTCTTCTCATTTGACTAAAGTACAGCAATCCAATTTTAGTCATTTTGGCTTCTAAACAGAGTTCAGGCTTGATTTGTTCTAGGACCTATTTGCTTGTTCTTTCAGTGGCCCACAGTACCTGTACCACTACATAACAACAGCACAATTTTATATTGTCTTACAGGAAAAGTCTACTAAGCGAACACATAATTCTGATACCCTGAAGAGCTGTGTAGCTAAATGCAAGTAGGCTGGGTAAAGTATATTTTATTCCGTCACCTTTATTTATTATTTATTTATTTCACACATTTCTACCCCACCCTTCACAACCTCCGAGGGGGGACTCAGGGCGGCTTACAAAAGGCACAATTCGATGCCTACACAATAATACAGATAGACATATATAAACAGCAATTAAAACAGTTATAACAGTTATAACCTTCTAAAACATTACAATAAAGTATAGACAATTTTTCTTCAACTCCTGTGAAAATCTGAAGATTCAGTTAATACAATCTTGGTCATTGGACTGGACCTCTCATATCTGGAAGCAGCAATTAGCAAGTATATTTTGATGAAACCAGGAGTGGGAATAAGCAAAGTTCAAAGTGGGCATTTGCTGTTAAAACATCACAGTGCTTGTAGTTTTCATAAAAGCCACTGTTGGGCTATATTTACAAAAATTATTTGCGTGATCACTGAGATAACCTCAGGCTATCTTCCATAACGAGATCAGTGGTGATCTCAAAAAGACATCAGGATTGCAAGGCAATTGCAATGGGAAGCTCATCCAGCATTTATAAGGTCGCCATATCCAGTTCAGACAAAGTCCTGGGTTTTAAAAACTTTTTGAACATCTCAAGACCCTATCTTGTTTATGTTTGATCATTTTGTCACTTCATTTATTACTCTAATAATAATAATTTTATTTCTTATCCCCCTCTCCTCATGGCTCGAGGTGGGTTACAGCATAATTAAAACACATAAACATTGTAAAATTCTATAAATATGCATATTAAAATGTATTTCTATAAAATATAGACAGTAAAACGTATTTTTATACAATACAAATTAAAAGACACAGAACAGTGATTAAACACTAGTTTAAAATTCATGCTTAAAACTGGCTGGGTAGGCCTGCCGGAAGAGATAGGTCTTTAGATGGTTTTCAGATTCCTTCAGCTGATCTAGCTGTTGGAGCTCTTCTGGCAGGTCGTTCCAAACCTTGGGATAGCCAATGAAAAGGTCTTCCAGGTGACGGTCACCAGTTGGATTTTAACTGGTTGGAGTAGCCACCCCCCAGAGGACCTAAGTGTGTGGGGCAGATTGTAAGAGAGAAGGTAGGTAATCTGGTCCCAAACTATGCAGGGCTTGGTTTTGATTCATTTTATTTAGTTGACTTAAGCAAAGTTGCTGTTGGGTGCTTTAAAGTTTTTTTCAACTTACAGTGACCATAAGGGTCACAAGACTTTCTTGGCTAGATTTGCTTAGAGTATGCCTTGTCTTTCTCTAACGTCAAGCGTGTAACTTGTCCAAGGCTGCCTGATAGGTTTCCATGGCCAAGCTGGATTCAAACTCTGGCTTCTAATTTTATGCTAAAATTGGAGAACGTACGAACAAAGACTGATTAATAGTATTAATCTAATAGTAATGAAACCTCCGCTCCAGTCATGTTATATCTATTTAACTCACTATATAATCCGTGAATTCCAATTTAGGACTTGCATGCCAGAGTTGCCCTTTGAATAGCAAAGAGAAAATTCTATTTATTTTTGTTTGTAATCGAAACAATAACTTCCTTTCTCATAACAGGTTTTACTTTACAGCAAAATTGAGATAAATGCATAATAACCAGTTACTGTGTTGGGCATACCTTTAATTAAACTGTCACATTCTTTCCTATGCCATTGCCACTTAAACATTTGTAATTTTTATCTTTCCTTTTTACACGTTTGTATATACATTTTTGTATATACACATAACTGAGGTCATCCACACATTCAGTGGAGTGAGCTCTAATTTAGAAAAAGACAAATCTATTAAACTCAAGTTCTTATTTTTCCAGTGTTGTTTCCATTCTGGTTCTGCTTAATATCGGCTTTTATTAACTTGAGAACTTATATATTGTGGTGATCTTTTTCTATTTTATATACATATTGCCAGTAGATTCAAATGTAACACTTTTCTGACCTTGCAAATATTTATTTTCTATTTAATAAAGGATTTTTGTGTTCATTTCTACACATGCATACTTTTTCTAGTCAGTGTCTTAAATATTTATTTTGCAAAGATTTTTTTTCATCTGAACTGCATCACAAACTTCAGGAAAGCACATATTTTGACATTTAGCTGTGTTTCGTACGTGAGATGTATGAATTTGTTAAATTCACAATGAATCATGAAGCAAATGAATTTATCACCAATTCCAGAAAATCCTGAAGATGTATGCTATAATACGAGGGTGGGTCAAAAAATAATGCCTCCATCGCTCTAACTTTTATTTCTTTCACAGCTACTGGACTATCTATGCATGATATGATAGAGGTAACCTTACTCTACTGATACAGCCTTTTCTTTTTCCAATTTACTGTTTAGAACCATGAATCTGAAGCTAAAAGAAAGAATCATCGTTTAATTTCTGGCAAAAGAAATTTGTGCACCTAAGGACATCCATAATCAATTGAATAATAATGTTTATGATTTAGCCCCTTCTGACTTTTACCTGTTTGGACCTCTGAAAGATTACCTAAATGGTTGAATGACATTAAAGCAGCTTTAAAATTATGGGTCACAAAACAAAACCCTGAATTTTTCCAAAATGGTTTGGATGCCTGGGTTACAAGATTGCACAAATGTGTACAAAATTATGGGTTAGGGTAAGGGTTGAATGGTAATTTTGTGTAGAGGATAATTCAGGCTATGATCTGTAGCAACTTCTGCTGTTACATGTTCATTCATAACGTTTTTATGACACAGGAGGCAAAACTTTTTGACCCACCCTTGTAACTTGTGCTAGTCCTTTAGTTTAATAATAATAATAAACATTATTTATACCCCGCCACCATCTCCCCCAGCGGGGACTCGGAGCGGCTTACATGGGGCCAAGCCCTAACAACAAATTACAATACAAAGAAAAAAATACACAATTACAATAAAATAAACAACATAAAATTAAAGGTTAAAGTGTAAAAACATCAAAGCATATAAACAATATACACAGAACATAGAAACCAAACATAATGACAGAGAGCGGGCCGCATGTACATAAAATGATTTTAAAACTCTGGGTGAGATAAAGGGGTAAAACTAATTGTAAGTAGTCTTACAATTAGTATACGAAATAAATAAACTAGTATTATAAAATATAATTTGCTATTTTAATTCCTTGAATACTTATGGGAATTTTAAATCATATTTTATCTTATAGCTGCACCTCACTATTCCATATTTAAATATGATCAGTAAGTACTACAAACTGTGCTTAAAATGAATCTAGCCATGCTTCTTTTGACAGGTATTCTACTTTCATGGATTTCCCTCCAGAAAAGAAGATTGATTTAGATGGTAATCTGATTATATAATAAATCTGACAGGTATATAATAAATCTGTTTTTTGAACGTATAGTCAAAATCTGCTATGATTAGTTCAGTTTGAAGATCCTTCGAAGATTCTTCAGCAGATCTTAGGCATCTTTTATTATCTGATTGATTAATCATGAAGGAGACGAAAGAATCTTACAGCTAAAGGGGAGAAGGGAAGACAGGGACATGATTTTATATCCTGCCTTGATAAAATCTAGATAAAGTGCTGTCAAATAACCACAAAGAAAATCCAACAAATGCTACATTCTGCAAAGGACAAGAGGTATTCTCTCACCTCTGTGGGAGTCTATCGTATACCATGCAGCTATGGACAAGTCTACATAGGGACCACCACGCGCAGCATCGCCCAAACAGGAATCAAGGAACGTGAAAGGCACTGCAGACTACTTCAACCAGAGATATCAGCCAGAACAGAGCACCTGATGAATCCACCTGGACACGGTATATTATCTGAGGACACAAAAATGCTGGACCACTCTAACAACGACCATGTCAGACTCACAATGAAAGGTCGTAGCCCGGGGGGGGGGGGGGGGTTGAAAAAGAAACCTGGTTTACTCAAAACTTGGTTAACCAGTTAAAATTATTGAGTAAACCAGGGTTCGGGGGGTGGAACCATGGCTATGGCCCTGCAAAGAGAAACCATTGAAATCCACAAGCATGTGGACAATTTCAACAAAAAGGAAGAAAGCATGAAAATGAACAAAATCTGGCTACCAATATTTAAAAAA